ATTTTCTCCCTTCACATGTTTTGCTTTTTGAGATTGGCTCCTCTTAATTAAAAACCAAAAAATGATGTTGTATAATCAGGAAAGAGAAATAAATGTTACCTTTGATTCACTAATTGATTAAATTAATTGATTAATGGTGAGCATCTTGCCTACTGTAGAAGGCCAGAGGTCACCTCAAAAATTTTGAGAGAATATCACTTATTGTATTCCTTACAATTATTTACCAACATTATCTTAATTTGCTAACATACCAGATACAAGCTAGGGTGTTCACTCCGCCTATATTCATGGCACAAGACCCACATATACCCTCACGACACGAACGACGGAAGGTCAGAGTTGGGTCAATTTCATTCTTGATCTTAATCAGGGCATCAAGTACCATTGGACCACATCTGAAATCGAAAAAAAATAAACAAGATTATAAACACTTATGAGACACAAAAAAAATAACTCAATAGAACATTTGTATTTCTATTATATTTATCTTGCTTGGCATGAAATTTGCCAGTTACATGAAATTACACGGAAATCCTGTTTTGGAGATAATGGCCAAAACAGGCTCGAAGGTCAACATTTTGGAAAGCTATTTTATTGCGCTAAACTAACCTATACATCATGCTATACTGTTATTTTCCTTTATTTTCATTGCTAAAACAACAAATTTAAACAATGTTGTGATGCTTTCTGCCTAAGAAAAGCCCAAAATCGAAAACTTCGAAGGCTGATTTCTCAAATAATGTTTTTGAAACAGCTGTATGTTTAAACTCCTACAGTACAACTTCATAACAAAATGTTTAAATGATTCTTTTACCATTTTTTTAGCTCTCATTTTACTGTTTAACTCTGTATTAATAAAAATCAACTTTTGCGACAAGTGCCTGGTTTAGCTTGTCTTTGCCACAAATGATACAGTAATCAATACTTAACAGTATCATTATTCATTTGTATCGTTATATTCATCATCTATTATCATTGTCATTCCAACATAATAAGATAAGCACATGTGTAAAATATTTAGATCATGTCTAGCAATAAACTCTTTGTATTAAAAACCAATAACAATAAAATCAAGTGTATCTAATTCTCTTTATAATAATTTAAATAATAAAAATACTCATTCAAATTTAATTGGAAGTAACTTACGAATTCAGATCAACATCGTAAACTTGCATTCGAGGTTTATCGCCAGGCTTGTCAGGGTCCTGTACAAAAAACACAACATAAGAAAGACATAGAAACATGAGTATTTTCATAAGAACTCAGAAGAATTAAAGCAAAGGATTTATACTGTTGTTTGTATATATTGTGAGCTGAATTGTATCAAAAATAAAATTAATTAACACTAATTGGACTACAATTCTGTGGATTCACCACAATTCTCACTAGCTGGGTGCACTGAAGCATGACTCTGCAACTGCTAGTCAATTGAAAATGCATATTAAGACTGGTAGGTATAATGTATCTATTGGCATACATTAGTAAGTGCCAACTTAAAACCAAATACTTAATTACGTATTATTTTCTTGACTAAACAAAACAATCATGAAAAAGAATACAGCATTAATTTTGCGTAAAAATACTGGATCATGGTGAATTAGCATCTGTAAAACATATTGTGTAGGATTAGTCTGAATTGGATACATTTATGTAACATTATACTGTAAAATTGTACAATGATACTGATAGTGGATTTTAACTAATCTGCCCAAATCAAACTTACCCATCTGTAAATAGAAAACTGTTTGATCTTTTCTTCTTTTTTATGTTGTTCTGCAGTAGATGTTTGAGCTGTTCTTATAGCCTACAGAGAGAAAAAAATAAAATTTAAGAAACATGTCTGATTAAAAAGTATTGATTTCATTCTCAAAATTGTATTTGAAGAACTTTAGTCAGTGAATATATTTTTAGTAAAAAAGGCACTCAATGTACTTTATTTACATGATTATATCTTCAAAATATTTTAACACATCATGATTTCTAAACAAAATTCTTAGTTCTACGATGAAGGAAACAAGCCCCTTTTTTCCTGATCAGCCTCTCAACATTGAGCCCAATCACACTTAATAATTATGTCGGCTCGGGGCCACATATCAAGTGTGGACATGGGACAATCAATGAATTTTAAGCTGGCCTAAGGCTAAATTCCTACATAGCGCCGCCACTGAGAATAAGAGAGCGTACTCCAATAATTATTTACAGTAGTTACATCCGTCCCTTTTGTTTCCAAAGTTTTTATACAATGTCAATATTTACAATATTCTTGCCAAATAAAAACTTCTTATCGACAATATCGATTAAAAAAAAGCAATATTCTATTGCTCCGACTAAAAAAAAGAAAACCCGCCCTCCCTCATCAATTTTTTATAACAGTAGCAATAGGCAATATGACCAAGAAAAATTCTTAATAATCAACAAAAAACTAATCATTCATGACTGCAGTACTACTAGGCCTAAAAAAAGTCGCCTAGGCTAGCTAGGCCAGCAAGAATCGCAAAACGACTCACCGCAAGCCGCACTCTATCATCACCAGCAGTATTAAGTTTTAGGCCCTAGCAATGCCGCATTTTAACGAATCTAAACTTAACCTCAGAACTAAATCATAATAACAATTATAATAAAACTTACATTAACTGCAATACTATCAAACCTACGAGGCAAAATTCGTCCTAGGCCTAAGCCAAATTTGCTTGTCAATGCCATAATTTAAGATACGAAGTTACGTACACTGACGTCGACTTTCGTTTGTTTCGTAATCATGAATCAGATGGCGCCCTCTCGTTTGTATTATTGTGGAACGCCGAATGAATACAAACCGTCACCGATTACTGACATCGCAGAACATACATGGTGGGCACTGAACATTAAAAATTAACCACAGGCATAATAATTATTATTTATTTTTGGTGATACATTTTTTTCATGGCAAATATCTAAACGTTATAAAATGCACTGTATTGAAATGTAGTTTGAAAGTCTTTCTGCTGAGAAGCGTATTGTTTTTAGGACTATTGTTTTTGTCTACTTGTTTAAGTAATAGCGCACCTTCGTATCTTAAATGGTTTTTATGAGCCCGACTGGTCTCAGATGCCCCAGCGATGTTCCGTCATATTCTACCAACTTATACGACCATTGGTGATAACAATATTTCAAACTTTTGACCAAAATTATGGAACGATTTGCCCCTTGTCATGTCTTCAACCTTAAAAATGCATTTGCAAATTAAACATTAATGAATTGACCTCTCAGCTGTTCACTATATGATTTGCATGAATAGTTTTTGTTTGTATTGTGCTTGTAATTGTCGTGATGTTAATAGCACTCAATAAATAAAATTTTAAAAAATCCACATAAACTTGATAAAATAATGAAAGCTGTATCACATCCAATACGTATACATCGCTCACACATCTGGCAGACTCCGTCCACTTAATAACAGCTCGTTTGCAGATCCAGAAATTCTTTTTTCAACCACTCGGTCTTTTTTTATAACAATGAATTTAAAAGATAAAAATTATTTATTTTAGTATGTAGTGTTCTTAACTTAACTTACTGTAACATTGAATCCGGTTGCAATTGTATTCTATTGTATTGTGTACGATGGCCATATAGTATTTATTACTTGTGCATGTATCATATTATAAGTTACAATAAATATATCTTGTATCTTGTATTTACGATCGATCCGAAATGTACGTGGTTTTCTAGCTGCGTGTGGACGTGTGTATTTCATTTCATTTCATTTCTTTAGGCACGAGGGCCAAGGATATGCCAATAAGTGAACTTAATCACTGTCCTACGTGGCATATCCATTTAACAACAGGGGACTTAATGGACCAGTACACCGGGGTAAC